CCCCAAAACCCCAAAACCCCAAAACCCCAAAACCCCATCCATTCTTGGTAGAACTGAATATTTTTAGATCAAAATGGACATGCTAGAGAAAGAAACTTGAGCTTATTGTGAGGCAGAAGTGGAACACTTCTGCCCAACACATGAGGAATGTTTCTGTTCTTCCTGCCTTCCCAAATTCCATCTAGAATGACCCAGCTTCTTCCCAAGTAGAAAGTGTGGGGACCTGGTTGGGAAAATTGAAAGCAATTTGGGGAAATTTTGAGAAATAGCGAAGATGTATCCACATTTAAAGAAGAAATCTACTCTGGAGAATTTTATATGGAGATTAGAAGTGATTAAGCAGGATCTAGACTCATCCAAGCTCCTCAAGGAGTTTGGATGCTGTCAAAGTAAAATACAGAAGTAAGTTCTTTCTAATTATGATAGATTTGCAAAAGAGTTTAAGCAGGATCCTATCATTCAGGAGCTTGCCTACCTGAATGTGGTTGAGACTGCCTCTCAAGAAGCCACTCAACTAGATCCAGATATGAACCAAACAATAGAGGAATATAAGAAAGAACTTTATCATAGCAACCAGGCTTGGAGAAAGCAATTTGAAGTTGCGTATCGCAACCAAGTTGATGAAGAGTATGGCAAAGAAGTGGAGAGAGTTAGAGAAGAAATGAAAGTAGAAATAGAAGTAGAAAAATAAAGCAAAGGACCTCGCCTTTGCTATCATTGAGAAGCTGAAATCCCAAGTTAGGATCTTGAGCCCGAAGAATCGACACAGTGATGCAACGGTACTACGGGAAAATTTAAATTCTACCTTGCTTGAAGAAGGTAAGGAATCTGCTTCTAATAATCTAGAAAAAATTGAGGTCAGAACTGAATTCGAGGAGTCTTCCAACCCATTTGAGATTCATGAGTTTACCAATGAGCCTCAGAGCTGTGTTCAGGATTCCTTTATATCCACTAAGCTAGAAGAGGTCTATGGCAGGTGTGGTAAGGACATAAATTCTGATGTGTTAAGTCTGAATATCTCTGATCCGACAGATGGTTTCTTTATTGACCAGATTTCAAAGAGTAAATACCAAATTCCAGAATTGCAAATTTTGAGCATTGACAATTTAACTAACTCTCCGGAGGATTCCCTACTGTTGTTTCTGAACCATTGATATCCGAAATCAGTTGAAAACTTGGAGCTTAATACAACATTTCTGGGTGCTGACGGGAGTGATGCTCTTAAAATTCAGGCATATTTGCCTTCACTTTCAATCTTGTTGGCAAGAGTGTCATATGTTTCCTTTACCAACCTCACATTGACATCGGATACTTTAGGATCTCTGATAAAATCTTGATTCCAAGTTCCTAGGATTAAAATATCGCATAGCAAGGTGATGCTTGATAACTCACTGATGTTCAACATTACTAATAGGTATAGCATAGAGTCTCTGGATTTCTCCTTCAGTGGTTCTGATGACTGGAACAGGAACGACTGGGTGCAGTATCCTCAGAAGTTTGGCTATCTTGCCAAAGCTATCAAGAAGTGCTCTCTTAGATTCTCTCTTAAAAAGATCAATATCAAGGGCTGCTTCTTCGAGCCTGAAGAAGCCAAACTCGTCATGGAAGATAATGGGATTGGAGATATCGAAGTCACTGCAGAAGATGAGTAATAGATGATTTCTGGTTAGAATTTACTTTTATTTCAATCTTAATAGTACAATTAGGGGTTTTGGGGTTTTGGGGTTTTGGGGTTTTGGGG